GGTGATTAACATAATTTAAAAAAAGAAAAAGAAGGGCAAAGCTGAAAGCTTCACAATTCTGGACTTCAAGTTATAGGACAAAGCTGTAGTGATCAAGAAAGTATGGTCATGGCACAACAACAAAGATCAATGGAACAGATCAATGGAACAGAATAGAAAGATCAATGGAACAGAATAGAAAATCCAGAAACAGATCCACAACTCTATGGTCAACTAATCAACAAAACAGGAAAAAACATCCAATGTAATACAGTCTCTTCAACAAATGCTGTTGGAAAACCTGGACCATTACATGCAAAAGAATAAAACTAAACCACTTTCTTACACTATACACAAAAATAAATTCAAAATGGATGAATGACCTCAATGTGAGAGAGCAATCATCAAAATCCTAGAGGAGAACATAGGCAGCAATCTCTTTGACATGGGCTATACCAAGTTCTTACCAGATATATCTCTGGAGGTAAGAGAAACAAAAGCAAAAATGAACTATTGGGACTTCATCAAGAAAAAAAGCTTCTGCACAGCAAAGGAAACATTCAACAGAACTAAAAAGCAATCTTCTGAATGGAAGAGGATATTTACAAATGACATATCTGACAAAGGGTTAGTGTTCAAAATCTATACACAACTCATCAAACTCAACACCCAAAAAATAAATAATCCAGTCAAGAAATGGGCAGAAGTCACAAATAGACACTTTCCCAAAGAACACATCCAGATGGCTAACAGATATGTGAAAAGATGCTCACCATCACCCAACTTCAGGGAAATACAAATCAAAACTACTATGAGGTTATCACCGCACACCATTCTGGCTAAAATTAGCAAAATTAAAATTAACAGGAAACAAGTGCTGGCAAAGATATGGAAAAAGGGGAACCCTCTAGCACTGTTGGTGGGAATGCAAACCGCTGCAGCCACTCTGGAAAAACAATATGAAGGTTCCTCAAAAAGTTAAAAATAGAACTACACTATGACCCAGTAACTGCACTATTAGGTATTTACCCAAAGGATCCAAACATACTGATTCGAAAGGACATATGCTCCCTGATGCTTATTATCCGCATTATAAACAATAGCCAAATTATGGAAAATGCCCAAATGTTCACTAAATAATGGATAAAGAAGCTGTAGTACATATCTATGATGGAATATTACTCAGACATCAAAAAATGAAATCCTGCCACTTGCAACGTGGATGGAGCTACAGTGTACTATGCTAAGTGAAACAAGTTAGAGAAAGACAAATTCCATGTGATTTCACTCATATGTGGAATTTAAGAAATAAACATTAACATAGAGGGAAAAGAGACAGGCAAACCACAAAATGGAGTCTTAACAATAGAAAACAAACTGAGGGTTGCTGGAGCGGAGGCGGGCAGGTGGATGGGTATTAAGGAGGGCACTTGTTGTGGTACTCTATTTAAGTGATAAATTATAAAATTCTACTAATGAAACTAATATGACACTATATGCTAACTAGAATTTAAATACAAAACTTTAAAAAAAATTTTAATAGGTTTTGTTTTACGGTTTCGGGTGTTTGGTTTGGTTGTTTTTTTCCTTCAGAGAAGGAGAAAGAAGAGTGGGGGAGGGACAGACAAAGAGGGTAAGAGAGAATCCTAAACAGGCTCCACACCCTGTGTGGATGCCAGGCTCAATCTCCCAACTCTGAGATCATGACCTGAGCCAAAAATCAAGAGTTAGACACTTAAGTCAGGCACCAGAGCCACCTCGGTACCCCAAAAATCGAGTAACTTTTAACCAAGAAGAAATTAGGAAGGTTGCCAAATATGAAATACCATAGTTTAAAAATATGAAATTTTTCAATACTGCAATATTGAAAATGAGAACAGATCTGAAAAGAAAGGACCATAAGTTAACAAAAAGATAAAGCCAGGAACTTTTTTTTTTTTTAATTATTATTTTTTAAATTTACAGACAGAGATCACAAGTAGGCAGAGAGGCAGGTGGGGGGGGCAGGCTCCCCGCTGAGCAGAGAGCCCGATATGGGGCTCGATCCCAAGACCCTGAGATCATGACCTGAGCCGAAGGCAGAAGCTTTAACCCATTGAGCCACCCAGGCACCCCAAAGCCAGGAACTTTTATATTTAAGTAGAGAGGACGAGAAATGCTATTTCTATTTCAAAAATCACACATAAGAAGAAAGAATATGCAGTAGATTTAAAGCTTCACTTTAAGTAGCAGGGCAGGAAGACACAAAAGGAAAGATAAACGGTCATATATACAGTCCTGTGACAGTCACCAAAAACAGGGTAAGGCCATAAACAGGAATATGTGTACAGCCAAATCTTCTTTAGGCCTAGATTATCCATCCCTTGAAACATTTTATGGATTTGAATAGTCACTGTCCTCTGAGTGCATCCACCTTATAAGCAACAAAAAAGTTTTGTAATTTTATGCCACCACAAATGAGTATTTAAAACTACTTTTGGGGGGGCACCTGGGTGGCTAAGTCTGTTATGCATCTGCCTTAGGCTCAGGTCATGATCCTGGGTCCTGGGTTTGAGCCCCACCTTGGGCTCCCTGCTCAACAGGGAGCCTGCTTCTCCCTCTCCTGCTCCCCCTGCTTGTGTTCTCACACTGTCAAATAGAAAAATAAAATAAAACTAGTTTTGGAGGGGCACCTGGGTCGCTCACATGGTTAGGTGGCCTACTCTTAAATTCAGCCCAGGTCATGATGTCAGGGTTGTGGGATTGAGCCTCACATCAGGCTTCACTGAGTGTGGAACCTGCTTGGGATTCTTCCTATGCCCCTCCCTTCTCACGTGCTTGCCCTCCCCCTCTAAAATAAAAATAAATCTTTAAAACTACTTTTGGGAAAAAAATTAAAAATGAAACCACTTTTGGGTTTAGAATTACTACAAAGACCATATGGTAGAAAAGCAAAGTGTCATGGCAACATCACATGTCACAAAAAAGCAGTCCAGGTTAAGAAACCAATGTCTTGCCCTAACAAGGGACTCAGCTACACAAAATGGGTCATGAAATGGAATGACCAAATAGAAAAGAGCCAAACTGTCAGATGCTGAATAAATAACATCAACAAAGTATCTGAATTAGGAAAAGCTAACAGGTTCTCAATATTATACCTTCAAAATATTTTAAAATGACACTTATTTTGCAAGTTATGAAACATGTATTCAGAATGTCTATAATTAAAGAATAATCAGATTTTCCACAAGATGGAATGATGGAATACCAAATACTAAATGGGGGAAGAGGGGTGTGGAAGGGAGGAAAGTACTCTCCTTAAAATGCAACAGTATCAGTTATAAAAGCCTGAAAAGTTTCAGGCGGTTTGCACAGAATCTTCTTAAAGGACACTAGGAGCAAAAGTAGACTGAATTGATTCTACATTCCTACACAATGAATCAAGTTGTCAAGAACCATCATCATTTAATTATAATAATCCCCCATGAAATTAAAAGGCCAATAATTGGGGCGCCTGGGTGGCTCAGTGGGTTAAGCCGCTGCCTTCGGCTCAGGTCATGATCTCAGAGTCCTGGGATCGAGCCCCGCATCGGGCTCTCTGCTCTCTAGGGGAGCCTGCTTCCTCCTCTCTCTCTGCCTGCCTCTCTGCCTGCCTGTGATCTCTCTGTCAAATAAAAAAAAAAAAAAAAAAAAAAAAAAGGCCAATAATTTAAAAAAAGAGATTTTTCCCTTCCAGAATTTTTTTTAAGGTTTTATTTTTAAATAATTTCTACACCCAACATGGGGCTTGAACTCACAACCCCAAGATCAAGAGTAGCATGCTCCACGGACTGAGCCAGGCGGGTGCCACCCTCTTCCAGGATTCACAATAACAGACAAAACCAGGAGTAATGAGATGTAAACTCAAGGCAAAAGTGACACTTGTAAGACCACAAAATAAAGTTACTCTTTCATACTGTTTGAGCACAAATTAAAGTTACTATTGCACATATCCAGAAAAAAATTAATAAACTTTGACCAACAGTTGGAAACAAATTATACTTGTAAGCAGCTGAGGCTCATTAAGAAACATAGACTATTATTCTTTAAATAGGTATTTACTCAGATGTTGCAGTAGTTTAAGCACAGATCATAAACATCTTAGCCTTCTCCCTCATTGCCCGTTTCTGTGCCAAGCCCTTCCAAAGCCGGAGTTGATAAGGTTCACTCCAAGAAGGAAAGAAGCTCATGGACGAAATGCTATCCTCACACAGCCCAGAGAAACGGTGACGCACCAGGAGCTTGGAAAACATCCCGTCGTTCACCTTACTAAGAGCAGTTAGGTAAGAAGATGGTCGTCCACGTGCACTATTGTTTCCCAGGTGTGTTTATTTATTTTTCACTTCGGCTTCGATATCAATACTCTCAACCTCAATCAAATGCGGGGGGGGGGGGGGGGGGGGCCCCGGGGGGGGTTGGGGGGCGCCACACATTTTTAAAAAAAAAAAAAACCAAGCTCTTTTTTTTGCTTTTTTTTTTTGAATGCAGCGTACTCGACGCCCTCACCTCTCTTCTACACCTCTGCCATCAACCCCCACGCAGCCCTTCGCCGCCGCTGCGGGTCCCCATGACAACCCCACCCGAAGGCGAATCCCCCCGCCGCCTCCCGTCTCCCGGGACCCGCCCGGGCCCGGCCCGCCACACTCGCCTGTCAAGTGACAACTCCACCAGCCCTGAGCTCTACTCTCCTCGCTCCCGAGAGACGGGCCGGGAACCCTCCCGACGCGCGGGCCCACTCCCGGGCGAGCGCACGACCGTCCCCAGTCGGAAATGTGCGGAGGGGGCGGCGGGAGAGGGAGCCGAGGACGTTCCACTCCAACCCCCAAACGAGCGGTGCGAGGGCCGGGGCGCGACCCTCAAATGGGGAGCGGGCCGCCCGGAGCCCCTGTCTAGGAGGCTAAGGGGAGCCGAGGGGCGGGCTCGGTGGGCGCGAAGGAACTTGCCGTTTTCACAAACAACAACGCGTCGCGGCGGCGGAAGGCTGCTGGGGACCACACGCTCACCTTGAAAGGGTTGTTGAGATCCGGGTCCGCAAAGGGGTTACTGTCGAAATCCGACATCTCTCTGGCGCTTGGCGTCACCCACCGGACCCAGGCGCAGAGAGGGAGACGAGGCGAGGCCGCCGCCCCCCTGCGCGCTCACGTCGCCGCCGCCGCCGAGCAGATCCGGGTGCAGCTCTCGGGGCCACCCAGCCGGCCGCGCCACTGAGCATGCCCGGTGCCACGGGCTCCCGGCCGGCAGCGCCGTTCCCGTTCGTGATCCCGTTCTTCCGGGCCTGGATCCAGCGTTCCGGGCTTTGGCTGCGACCAAGTGGGGACCAGGGGCGGAGGGAGCCGGGAGCGGAGAGCGGGGGGTGACCCGTCCTACGTTCCATGGGCCCAAGATTACGCGTCTTGATGAGGAATGAGTTTGTCTAGAATTATATTACTATCCATTTAGGATAGGCTGCCAGTAAGCGAACGTGACTTGGAAAAGAGGTGGTATTCTACGAGCAAGACACACACTGACCCCATTTCCCCAGGTTGGGAAGGCAGCGTGAGAAGTACGCTGCACACCCGGGGAGGGGGCAGCTATTTAACCACGCTTCCAGCACATGGCTGGAGAGGGTCCGCACCTGGCTCCAAAGACAATATCCCGTGGGGACCTAACTTCGCTAATGGGTTCCGCACACACACCCCACCTGACCCCACCTGGAAATCGCAGCCTCTCGCCTTCCGGTCCCTGGACTCTAGGTTACTGATAAATCACGGAGACCAGTCTCGCGTTACCGATCCGGAATGGCTCCACAGGGGTTTCGGAAAGTGAAAAGTTAATCCAGTAGTAAGTTCCAGCCCCTGCTCCCATTCTCCGGAATCTGCAAAATGGCTACTTTTCCGGAAATGAATGGGGCTGGGATGAGGGTGAAACGAATTTAGAAATCAAGGTCCTCAAGTTAATGTTAGTGGTTAGTGGTGATAAAAGGATGTTTTTATTGTTGTTTTTACTTTAAGGCATTTGGGCGCAAAATATACACCTCTGATTTTTTTCCTTAACAGCCCCCAACAGCAGGGATGAGAGCACAGAAAAATGAGTACGTGTAAAGAATTTTTGTACTATTTGTTATCCTACCCCTGAAGTTAATGAGAGGGCATCCCCTTCCCCACTTTCATCTTTCTGCTCTAACAGAAAAGCACTTAGCAGATGAAGCAACGAAGAGCCAGAATTCTCACTTGGTCTGTCCCTAGGATTTGGGGGAAAAACTAGAATTAGTCTTACTAGCTTGTGAGGGGGCTGGGAAGAGGGGAGCTTGTACTATGCAAAGTCACCTGGGAAATGATACTTCTTCCCCACTCTGAAAACACTAGTTCTAGGAATGATGACAAAAACCAGATTTATTATAATCTCTTTGGCAGGATCCAAGTTGAAATATAGGACGAAGAAGCTGCTTCAAGGCACCTGACTAGGAGAGTCAACTGGTAAGTGAGAACAGAGAAGATCATGGCAGAGCTTCAAGATCCTAGATATAAAAAAGAGCTAACGGATTCACCACCCTATCCTCCGCAGCTGCCTGGTGTTTGGTTCATTAGTTTAGTGCTCAAAACATGCGTCGGGTTCAAATCCCGGTTCTGATGGGACTAGTGCTATCCCGTAATATCTTTGACTCTGTAAAGGGTTATTTGGGAATTATGTAAGAGCTAGAGAAAGTGTCCTGCGTGTATTTAGTGCCTAGCAAATATTGGTTGAATGTCTGAAAATGGCAAGAGGGCCCAGTCCACTGTTGTTATGTGCTTTTTTCCTCAACTCTTCTAAGATTGACCTTGCCCACCTGATCTGCTTGTCTCACCACTTTGGCCCTTACTGCCTCCACCTGTCCTCCAAATGACTCAAATAATCAGAAGCTATTTATTATGCATCTACTATGTTCCAAGACAATGAGTATCAGCTTAGCCTGCATTGCAGGATGGAAATTTCCAATACAGTGTGTTTACAGCTAATGATATTATCACCTAATGCAAAGACTTAACAGACTTGACTGTTACAGAATCCTGTTAATGATGCAGACACCCACCTCTCCACATCTTTTATCTTTTAAATTCTGCTTTAAGGGGCGCCTGGGTGGCTCAGTGGGTTAAGCTGCTGCCTTCGGCTCAGGTCGTGGTTTCAGGGTCCTGGGATCGAGCCCCGCATCGGGCTCTCTGCTTAGCAGGGAGCCTGCTTCCTCCTCTCTCTCTGACTGCTTGTGATCTCTCTCTGTCAAATAAATAAATAAATAAATAAATTCTGCTTTAAGGAATCTCAGATAGGGGGCCTGGATCTACATACATACTGGTGTTCTCAATTTTTTTCTCTTTATTCTTTGTTTTCCCTTCTCTCTTCCCCTACTTTAACAACCAGTATGATCCTTTCAACATTCTTATAACATTGTATATCTACAAGCACATAATACATGATCATACACGATACATAATACATACTCATGTAGACATATTGCATATACAAAGTTTTAGCATTGTCTTGAAAATGGATCACATATAATATTTTCCTGAAACTTGTTTTTCTCATTCAATGGTATTTCTGGCAGTTTCTCGGTGAAATGTGCATTAGCAAAGAGATAGTCTAAGCTTTCTTACCCCAATACACCTCATAAATATTACTACTTTTTTAAAGTTTTTATTTATATATTTTAAGTAATTTCTACCCCCAAAGTGGGGATTGAACTTCGCATGATCTTCTGGCTAAGCCATCCAAGTATTCCAGTATTCTCACTTTTTGTGTGTACCATGACTACAGAAGTGAAAAGCGCTGGGAAGCATCGCCTAGTGGAAATCCCTCCAAATCAACAACAATGCGTCTATTTTATTCTCTTTAACAATTGCAAGATCAGCATTTTTAAAGGACTCCAGGTGACTCTGATAGAAGTGATATGCTGGGGGCACCTGGGTGGCTCATGGAATTAAGCCTCTGCCTTCGGCTCAGGTCATGGTCCCAGGGTCCTGGGATCGAGCCCTGCATTGGGCCCTGCTCAACGGGGAGCCTGCTTCCTCCTTTCTCTCTCTGCCTGCCTCTCTGCCTACTTGTGATCTCTCTCTCTCTGTCAAATAAATAAATAAAATCTTAAAAAAAAAAAGTGATATGCTGACCACACTTTCAGAACCTGATATAAAGACGTTCAGACATATGGTCCACGGGTGAGCTTATTGATTAGCTTTCATGAAATCTAGACTCCTAGGACACGAGAAATGAAAGGGAGCTGAGCTCTTTCATGACAGGAGAAGAAACTGTCTTTGGACAGGTTACGTAATTTGCCTCAGTGGCAAAGGGAGTGAGTGAATAGAGGAACTAGGAACAAAACTCCATTCTCTCAGCTCACATTTCAGACATTAAATTGATAGATTTGGTTAGTGGTATATTTCATAAAGGAAGACAAAATGCTATGTGGAAGACAAAGTCAGCATGTGGGAGGCTTCACTGGTTGGACTTGTTCATTTCCCAGGAGGTGCCCCTAAATTTGGTATAACAAAGAATGAAGAATTAAAACTAGTTCTGGATCCAGATCTGCCATAAACCAGCTGTGTGACCTTTCTCAAATCAATTCCCCTCTCTGATCAGAAGTTTCACACTAATCATTCAGCAAGTATTTATGGAGCGCCTACTAATTGATAAACAGTGTTTTAGATATTAAGGATAAAGCAATGAATGAGATAAAAAATGTAGAGACTGTTCCCAGGAAACTTCCTAAAAGGCCTACAACATAGCTAAATGATATTTTGGGTCCTTTGAACAGCTCAAATATTTTATTAACCTGTGGCAATGTCTCACCCCTCCCTAACTCTGTTTTGTTTTTGTTTTTCCTTTAGGGTATGCCTCACACCATTATCATGCTTCTTCTTCCTCAGTCTAACAAATTAAATTTGAGAATCTGTTGGGTGGGGGTTATAAGCTACATTCCATGTTTTCTATACTGCTAGCATATAGCTGGTAAATCACAGCAATCTAACCCATTTTCTAATCTCCCAAAATAAATACCCCAAATCTGACTATTGGGCTTGGTTGTTTTTTTCTTTTTCTTTTTTTTTTTAAAGATTTTATTTATTCATTTGGCAGAGACACAACGAGAGAGGCAACACAAGCCGGGGGGGTGGGAGAAGCAGGCTTCCTGTAGAACAGGGAGCCCAATGAGGGGCTCAACCCTGGGCCCAGGGATCATGACCTAACCCAAAGGCAGACGCTTAACTACTGAGCCACTCAGGTGCCCCGACTATTGATTTTTTTTTTAAGATTTCATTTATTTATTTGACAGATCACAAGTAGGCAGAGCAGCAGGCAGGCGGGGTGGGGGGAGGCTCCCTGCTGAGCAGAGAGCCGGATGGGGGGGGGGGGGCTCGATCCCAGGACCCCGGAATCATGAACCGAGCCGAAGGCAGGCACTTAACCAACTGAGCCACCCAGCCACCCCACCCCTACTGAGTTTTTATAGAAAGAAAGTTTACTTTAATTTTCTCCCTCTTCAATTAACTGAAAATTTTAAAAAAGAAATCAGTTTTATTTAGAATAGCTATTGTAAAGAGGGAAAAGAATATAGAGACAGTTCAGATTTCTTGTATGTCTGGCGTTGGTCAAGCCCTGAAATTCTAGAGGCTCAACATACATTTCTCCTATACAATATATCTTTGGGAAGCAAATATTATTATCATCAGTTCACAAAGGAGAAAATGAGAACTTAGAGTGGAAGTGAATCTAAAAGTTATTTTAAGAATTATGTGAAACAGAGGCCTCATGTCTGGGATTTTGTATTGTTTGTCCTTGCATTCTACAAGAGGCTTTATTATATTGCCCAAGGATAGAATTCCACATTGGGTTTTGTTTGTTTGTTTGTTTGTTTGTTTGTTAAGAGAAGTGGCATAAGCTTGTTGGTTCGTTATGTATGCCATTGTAACCCAATGTCCAACTACCAGATGACTGGGGAGAAATACTGAGAGGGATGTGGATAACTACGTCCATTGTCTCTAGGTCTGAGAACCAAAGCTCTCCTCCATCCCCACCACATCACCTCCCTTCACTGAAAGAGTCCTTGGGGCAGCTTCCACAGTTCGTTTCCCTCCACTTTCACCCTTGTCAGTTTTCTGCCTGTCTCTTGGTATGGTCTTAGGCC